ATCTTTATAACCTCTTATTTTAAAGGTTAAAAAAATCTTCAAGTACTTTATAATCAGTTCTTTTTTCTTTGAAAACTTTTTTGTTATTGATATTAAAGGTATTACTTAATTTTTTTTGATTATCAGAAGTCAAGTTTTGAGTAAAGTAATTTGTAAACAATAGAAAAAAGATAAAGATAACTTTTGAAGTTAACTTCAAATTATTTTAAGAAAAGTATTAAGACTTTATTAACAAAGAAGTAAAAAAACTTCTTGCAATTATCTTTTTTATGTGATCAAAAAATCCATAATCTATAGTGATAATCTATAGATAATAATATTAGAAATTAATAAGATTTTTATTTAAATTGCTAATGAAATAAATAAAGTAATAGTTAAAGTAATAAAAATTATAATAAATATATTAATTAAAAATTTAATTTTAACAATATATATTATAAATAGTTTAATTAATATTTAATAAAATACATATAATTAATTAACAAAGATAAAAAAAAAAATTAATACTATTAATTTTTTGTTAATTTTTTAATTTTTATATTTTTTATTTTTAAAATTGATAAAATTAAATATTATAAATTTTTGATAATAAAAAATTTTTTAATTTACTTAAATTAAGATTTTTTATTTTATTTTTTTTAATTAATAAAGTTTAAATACAAGATTTTTTTTTTATTTTAATTAAATAATAAGATTAATTAATTTTTAAATTATATTAAATTTTAATTTTTTAAATATAATAAATACATATATATTTTTTGAAATTATAGAAAAATATAATAATTAATAAAAATCGTTATTAATTTTTCTTTTAAAGTTAAAAATTATTTTTTTTTTAAAGCTAAAAGCTTTTATATAATTATATAATAAAAAAATAAATTGAAATATATTTTTTAAATAATAAAAAATATAATATATATCATATATATTAATAAAAAATTTTAATTAAATATATTGTAACTATTAAATAAGATTTAATTCTAATTATGCAATATAAGAACTTACAATTACATTATAAGTCATTAGCATATCATAAGTAAATATTGCAATTTTAGTTGGATTTAATAAATTTAATTGATAATTTAATTAATTAAATTGAATCAATTTACAAATTTTAATTTAATTATTAAATTGTTTTAAGTATTTATAATCTCATTGTTAAATTAACGATGAATTTTTAATTGGACTATTGAATCAATTAAATTGGTTAAGAGTTTAATGATATAATTATTAGTTCGAATTAATATACTGTATATATAATTTTATATTTAACTAATTTTGAATCAATTTTAATTAAACATTTAATTAGATGATTTATTTATTTATCCTTTATTATAAAAGTCATTCAATTTGAATATTCTTTTTTCTTCTGATTATTCAAAAAACCTATTTACAGTATTCTTAATCTTGATTTTTTTCTTAAATATTATCTGAGGAACCTATTAATTTATAAAAAACTTTATATCTTATCCTAACTCACTTTAGGTAGTGATTTTTTATTCATTTGCAATAAACAATCAACTTATGGATAAATAATTAAATGATCTTTACCATATATTTGAAAAAAAAATTTTTTTTTTATATAAGGCAGTTCGTATTATAGTTCCGGTTGGAATTATAAAAATTTGGCTCTAGTGCCATAATATAAACCAGAATACTTATAATGTAAAATATCATTACATTTCGAATATTAACAATGAGTTTATTTTAAAATTAGATTAAATTAATTGAAAGCAAAAATTTTGATACAAAATGGGACTTTTTAATATCCTAAGAACAAAGAATTATCAAAACTACGCAATGCTACGACAAAGAAATTTTGAATACCAAGAGATTTGCATACAGTATACGTGAATAATAAGTTTTTCGATGGATATAATGTGTGGCTAACCTTTATGAAGGCACAACTTTGTTGTTAAGATTATCGTAATTTCCTCAGTTAATTTCCCTAGGATCGATAACGATTCTGCTGAGTCCTTCCCCTGACACTATTCCCTAGAACATTATTGAAATTATTTCGAGCCCTTTGTTGATTACCATCTCTCTTTTGATACGTGGTTCGTTTCTCGGTGTTTTGGTGTTGTTGGTTAGCTTGACCTAATATTAAAAGTTATAAGGTACAGTACGTTGACTTAAACATCAAATTCTTCTTTTACTAACCTTTCTGTCTTTGCTGATCTCTCTGATTCTGACCAGTTGCTTGTTTTTGTTCCAAAGTTCTTTCATTTGTTTCCACAAATGATACAGCCTTTTCAGCAAACATCAGAGCTAACTGTTGAACCTTTGTGGGTTCCACACGATGCAACACGACGACATTATTGACTTGATCTAATGATGCAGCTAGTTCTTCATTCCAAATCATTTTTGAAATGATAGCAGTAACCATATTCACAGGAAGAGAAAACATTGTTGCCAACTGGTTGAGGCCTAATGTAACATAATAGGTCGAATATGTAAAGAGATAGGTGCGGAGGCCTTCTTCTTGAATCTTTCGATTTAACATTTCCTTTATTTTTTGAGTTTCAGGCATCAGATCCCAAATTTTGATGGCATTAATAAGTTCTTGGCATTTCTGCCATTCACCTGCGGCAAGAGCCTTGGCCGCACCCATAATATGATCCCTAGTGTTTTCCGGTGGTCCTTTAAAAATGAGAGCAAAAGTATAAATATAAAAGGCCCCGAGTAAATAATTCATTGTGGATTACTGTTACTCACCACTAAAAACTTGTCTTTCATTAAAGTCTAACATCCTTCTAAACGGCTTAGAAATTACCTTTTTGCGAGCTTCGAGATTAGACCCAGCGGCAGCCATGCTGGGAATCTCCAGAAGCATCGAACATGTTAAATAAGCGCATTCCAATAATTCCAAATTGATGTGCATATGGAATGGTAATTGGCGTTGGCGTTCCAATTTTTCTTGTTCCGGAGGAAGTTGCGTGTATTTTTGTAATTGCAAGCCCTAATTGGTATAATTAATATTATTAATTATAGGAAAACAGTAAAAGATCATCAATAAATAAATAGCTTACTTGTGCCAACAATTCTTTTACGCGTCCAGTACCACATATTTCTTGCAAACAACTTTGAGATTCCTTAACCATTCCCTCCCGGAAAGCACAGAGACCAACTTGTACCATGGTACGATTGTGTAAAATTTGGGTTCCAACGTCACTTTGATGGATATTATCTTGCAGATGTGACATCAAGAGCATGTCGCGTGCAACATAAAAGCGGTTGTGCAATGCATGGTGATATATGTGACAAAGCATTGCACGAGTACGAAGAAGAGATTCACCTTTTTTATAGAGATAGACACAAAGTGAATGAATCAATTCCGTGGAATCATTTTCCGATAAAGAGGTTGTTATTTTAGATTCAAGAGATTCCGGGAGTATCGTTTTAACAGTATTTTCAACTGTTTGTATAACTTGGTCAGGCTAGGTGATAAATAGCGAACATTCAAGTTTACTAGTATTAGAAAGTTATAAGAAACAGAACCTCACCAGACAATTACCTTATAATATAAGTGTTCTAATCTTCTCATGACCATCCTACTTGTACTATCATCCAAAGAGTGGTCTTCGAAATATATTTGACCCCTTACAATTGTAGCATATAATTCCGTTTCATCTTTTAACCTATCCACATAGTCGGTAGTGTGTGGGTCAATATTTTGTAAGGATTTCGTAAACTCGTCATCCAAGCGATCGATAAACGAGACAATAGAACCGCGTATAGCATATGTTTGACCACTTTCGACTACTGGTTCTTTATCCTCTAATTCTTCATCAGCAGTTTCATGAATTATATATTTTGGATTATTTTCAAGGATATCCAGAAGTTGATTAATTTCCTTTAGCGTGCTTTTACCAACAAAAAAAATTTTTTTTGCGCAGAAATAATATAAAACAATATTAGACAGAATAATAAGAATAATAGAACACATCCATTGAACACAAACCTTTTCCACATATCAACATTCATATAATTGCTCATGCTTGGATTATAATCAAACTGAGATGGTATTAAGGCAAGCAAAGCACGAATTTCCTGGTATGGTGTTGCCGCAACTTCCAAAAGTTTTTGGAGAATTTTTATTTGCTCCAATCGATCCGTATTCTTTTGTAATACGTAGGAGCGTTAAAACCAATGCCTTTACGTCTAATTGTCAAAGATGATGTGATTAGCAGAGTTACCTTCTTTCCTCTCGCTTCTAAAACTTCTCTCAACTTTCTAAACAAATTTTCTGAAGTATACACTACAGGAGACTTCGTTTTTTTGTTAACTATGGTGAAACCATCATTATTGTCATCTTCAATGTCATCCTCATCCTGTGATTCTACATCGGAGACAACTATATTCTTTTTCTTTTTTGGTTTGGCTTCCTCAATCGAACTACCTTCACTCTCTTCACTAACAGGATTCTATGTGTTTTAAGAATTAGCTCTCTGATCCAAATATTGCGGATAATTGTGAAAAAAAGAATAATTTAATATTTACTAATCTCCATTTTTCGATTTCTTCCTCGTATAACTTGTTATTCTTTTTGAGTTTTTGTTTCATGTAATTTAATGCCTTTGCTTGAGATGCATTCATTTTTTTCTTTGAATCCTTTTCTTTTTGCAAAGTTTCATTCAAAAAATCTTCGAGCAATGAAATAGTTTTGATATAAAGTCGTGGAATTGCATTTATTCCAGCAGGTCCTTTACCCACAATTTTGTTTAATTTTTCGAATTCTAAGGTATCATCAGAATGATAGTAAGTGTTAATGTACAAGTATATATGTGAAAAATGCAATAATCGATTAAAATTAATAATAGATCACCATTTTGAATAACAACCCAATCATTAATTTTTTCTGCGTTTTCGATGACTTTAACAGAAGCACCGAGTGCATCTAACCTTTTATCCTTTGCTGATTTGACTTCACGTTTCACGTCAGAATCGGAGGAGTCTTCGGAATCAATGTTTTTAATAAACCTTCCTCTGCCGAAAGATACTGGTTTCGCCACTTCTTCTTCCTCGGATGATTCATCGAGGATATCGGATTCCTCGTTTGATGATATAATATCATCCTCTGACTCGCTATCAGAACCCCCTCTGAAAAATCGAGACATCCTTCGATCTTATTAAAGGAGAAAAGATTTAGATGATTAACTCGGTGCAAAATTTTTTGAGGCTGATTCTGCCCAATTAAATGTGCTGGTCAGATTTTTTTCATGATCACGCTTTTATAACACCCTGCTGACGTAATCATGCGTGACGATCAAATCTTGATATGATGACGAATGAAGAAACCCTTTTTCGTGTAAATTCTTTATGAAACAATGGAGTCTAATCAGATAATGACATTTAACAATGCCTGTTCGGTTGTTCAGGTGTAATAAAACACGGCTCCATCTCTAAAAGAGGAGGCTTCAACCTGAATGTATACATACTTAAAAAAAGATCGCACAATCACGTTGATTGTCCATTAAACTTGTCACATGTACTCGTTGATATCTTATATTATTTTCGAATGAATCATTTATAAATGAAAAATCGGATAATTCATTTCGAATGGATTAAAGATGGATTATAAGATGATAATAATGAAAAAAAACGTCAATTTAGACGACAGAAGAATATTTTATAATGATTTTTATACAGCAAATATGCCTAATGCAGATTTAAAATAAATATTTTCAAGATAATAATTTTTTGTTTAGTACATGCGGGCCAGGGTATTGTCATCTGACAAATGTCACGATCGAAAGAGTTTGGCATCGTATTCTCGCAGCTGAAGGAGCAGTGAATAAGTGAGAGTATAATATTGATTGATTGAATCAATGATGTCATTTACGGCCAGTTATCCGGAGTGATCTTATAGCGAAACGTTACGTGCGGCAAGATCCTTATAATAGCACTTAAGTTTGTCCGATATGTATTGCTGAAGTGAATTCGCCAATACGGATGTATCTTTTTTGTCAATTCTAGGATTAACGAAAGTTTGGATGAAACGATGGAGCATATCTGAGAATATTTCCCATTCGGTCAAGATGTTGGTAAGAACACGGTTCTGACCATTATTGATATAAGGGGCGACAAGAAAGTACAAGAATCTTCCTTCGGCAAGGATGGAATCTAAAAGATCGTCGTCTGAATCTCAAATTAAAAACGATGTTGGGGAAATCGTGATGTGAAGCATTATACGCACGAGTTTCGTAATAATTCTTGCGTTCATTTATCATTTTACTCCAGAGTGGACTCGCAAACCTCACCAATTCACTCCAGTTCATATTTTCATTGACAAGATTACGCATGAAATAGTAGAGCACATTCAAAAATACATTCCAACTGGACGATTTTTTGTTCTTTTTAGAATTCATCTTGATGTGAAATATCATCGGTGGCATGCTTCGTTTTTTTCCCTAAACCAGGTGTATTTATGCTCGTCACCTTAACTTGACTTCCTAGAGATTAATATCAATTAAAACAGGTTCCAGCAAGATAATAAAGGAAGAAGAGTTTGAAAACAAACAATTAAACAAAGTTCAAATAAAAGAAAAATGGAGAGGCATGGAATAAGCACATAGATTAAGAAGATTCTGTTATCATGCGTCATAGTTCTTAAAACAAAATATTATAGCCATAATGACGGAAATAGATTAACGCAGTATGTGATTGTTTCCAAATAAAAGATATTTTTTATAATTAAGAAAGGCAATATACAGAATTAAGTTTTCTAGATCGAACTCTCTTTTTCTTTTAACCCGCAATCATACCATCATGGCATGTCTTTATTGTGACATTACCTATAATGGCTAACTCGTCATTGGTATATTAGTTAATGGACTACACTGCTTTTAAAAAATATGAGTAGTTAGCAGATTTTGAAGCCATAGATATTTTCCAAGTTTATTTTAGATGAGATTCAAATTTAGTCTATTTGATTACATACAAAGTTGTTGAACCATGTGAATGTACTTTTGTCTTTTTCCCTTAAGTTTTGAATATTGGCAAAGTTTCAATTTTCAAGAAAATTGAAAAGACGTATTATATAGACTTTTATATGACAATTAATTCATTTTCACATATTATTAGTTAAAAGATTATACTACTTGAAAAATATGAGAAGTCCATTAAGTTAATTTAAATCAAACAAAACAAAGTCTAAATTAGATACTTTAAATTAAATTTAAGAAACAATATTTTACTTTTTTAATAGATTGATTATAATTTCCATCTATCAATTGTTTACAATATAGTTTATTATTATAAATTGTTTCAAAAAACAATAAATTGTCAAATTATTGCATTAAGAAAAAAAAAAAGAATTCAATTCAATACTTTTCAAAAAATTCTTATTCAAGTAAATAACTTACTTTCAAAAAGGATTTGCTTGATTAAAATATTCTTTGAACTTTAAATTATTCAAAAAACTTGGTTATTCTTAAATATAAAGACTTCAAGAAAAATATTTGAAAAACTTATTTTTCTATTAATATATGAATTCACTTATTATATCACTGATGCTAGTATTATATTACAATAGAATTAACTTTACTAGAATAAAAAAACCTATATAAAAGCTTTGTCTAATTAAAATAAAAACTTGAGGATCTCAATTTTCTTTTTAAAAAAATTTTTTATTATCCAAAGAACTTGTTAAAAGATAGAAATATTATATTTTATATTCTTCACATGTTTTTTGATATTGTAACTATCTTTTATGAAAAACTTGTTTAATTAAAAAGTAATCCATTATAAACTTTTTTTTTTATTGCTAATAATATTATTTAAATATATAATTATAAATAAATTTTTTTTTTAAACCCTCTGTTAGACTAGATATGTATGCTTTATTAAACATATGTATACTTTACATTGAAAATATATTGCTAAAGCTAAGTCTCTACCTAACTCACTCGTCTCTATTTTAAGAATTATTAAAACTTTAAGTGCAACTTCAGAAGTGATTTATCGCTCCATTAGTAGTTCAGGTAAAGACCTTTCCAACTGTTAACTTCATTGCCGTTAGGTCACTACTACAGATATATATAATTATAATTAATAAAAGCTTGTTTATATTTTAAAAACTAATATATTTAATATTAACCAATTACTTTTAATAAATATTATAATATTATAAAATTCTGAGTCAAATTGAAATAAATAAAATTTTTTAAAAAATTATAAAAATATAAGTTTTAAAAGAATAACAATAGTTAATAAAAGAAAAAATAAGTTCTTTTATTGCAATATACAATATATTGATAAAATTTATTTTAAAAGTAAAAAATAATTTTTAAGTATTTTATATTTAATTGGTTCTTTTTTTTTAAATACTTTTTTATTATTAGTAATAACGATGTTATTTGACTTTTTCTTTAATTATTAAAAATCAAGTTTTTGATTAATAAAATTTATAATAAGAAAAAATATAGTAATAATTTTTGTAAATATTTTTTTGATTGTTTTAAAAATAATAGTAAAATTTTATTAATTAAATAATTTAAAAACTTTAGATAAATATTTTTTATATATAATCAAAGAATTAACAAAAAAAAAGTTTTTTTATATAATAGTTTTTAGTTGGATTAATTATTATATTAATATTTTTTATAATAATAATCTTAAAATATTTTTTTAAAATTTGTTAAATAATATATAAACTTGATAGATTTTTAATTTTTTTTTGTTAATAAAAATTCTAATAATATTATTCTTGCTGTTTTTAAATATTATAGATTTTAATTTCTTCTTATATTTTTTATTAATTAAAAAATCAATTTTTAATTTTTTGAATTTATTAAAGTTATAGTATTATAATAAAAAAACTAATATAGTATTTAAAAATTAAAATATTCTATAATAGTTTTTTTTTTTTTTTTTGTATACTCATAGCCAGGCTAGATCGTTAGTTTATTAATCAAATGAAGACAAAAGTACATTTTCATTCGAGCAGCATAATACATACT